ATATGAACACACAAAATATAAATATATACATAAGACTGTATATTTAAATCATGTTATATTTTTAAAATGGAATGTTTAAAATTATCATTGTAAAAATTAAATTAATAAATGTATAATTTATGTGTAGATATGTTGATGTATTTAATAGTGTGTGTATATATATATATACACACACAAAATATAACTATATAAATACAAAAGAATAGATTTAAAATATATATTAATTTATATAATAAAATAATAAATGTAAATATATCATGAATGGGGTCATATGATGCGATTTCAATTTTTCCTTTCTCTTTGGAGTGTTACAAGCTCTTGGTGCATAAAGAAGATCTGTAAAGTTGCAAAGACTAAAGTCTCAAATCCAAAGAGATATTCTTTATAAAAGTTAATAGTCAGCCACACCTACCTAAAACGGCTCGTTCCCTTTTATTCTCACTGTAGTATTGTTGATGCTGCAGCCATGTCCTGAAGATGCTGTGTGCTTCGTTGTGAAAGCGAAACTACTTTATTTGGTCTTCCAAAAGAGGACGATATCTGCTTTGTCATGCCTGGAGCTGATCAGTGCTGGTCGCTGAAGGAATACATCAACTTTCACCGTGGACAAAGCGGAGTCCAGCCCACCTCAGCTCACTCTATCCCAGCCTCAGCGCACGCTTAAGCCGGGGCTTCCTCTCACGCTAGGCCGCTGTGTGTTTCGTTGTGAAAGCGAAACTACTTTGTTTGGTCTTCCAAGAGGACACGACTACAAATCAGTGGTTAAGTTGTATTTACAACACTGTTCCAGAACAGTTTAACACAAATATTCAGATGTGTGCAGCATATTTTATGGTGGACTGTTTACTGATCCTGGGAGAGTAACGTTAGACTACAATGCCGGCTGTTCTGACTCACGTAAGTACATTTTAATTTAAACGATTTGCCACTGATGATTCAAACGTGAGTTTTGAGCAGTGTAGAGTAGCACTTGTTGTTTGTCATTTCTCCGATCACAAATGCAGACAGAGTTTTATGTTTACACGGCGCGATGCAATGCAACGCAACGCGTAAAAAGACAGTGTAAGTCATTATAATCAGTAATTATGTCCCCACTGGATGCAACAAATGCCTCGTTTATAATGAGTTTTAATGTTGTCTCGTCGCTCCAGCCGGGACACGGCATCAACAGTATGTGAGGGGCGTAACATTTCCGTCACACGCTTGAGGTATTCAGCCAATCACAACGCACTGGATAGCTGGCCAATCACAGCACACCCCGCTTTTCAGACCGATGAGCTTTGTAAAAATCGACGCGTTTCAAAAAGGAGGGGCATAGAGGAGAAACAATAATGTACAGTATGTGGAAAATAATGTGTTTTTTGAACTTTAAACCACATAAACACAAAATAATGTTCTTTTTAGCAGCATCATATGACCCCTTTAATATATTTAAATGTATAATTTATGTGTAGATATGTTGATATATTTAATAATGTGTGTGTATATATATATTCACACACAAAATATAACTATATAAATACAAAAGTATAGAGTTAAAATATATATTATTTTATATAATAAATGTAAATATATCATGAATTAATAAAAAAAATGTTTTGTGTTGGGGCCAGTGGTCTGGGTGTTATTATTTTCGGACATCAAGAGAAGAACAGCAACATAAATAGATTAGTCTTTAAAATGAGTTTCAGCAGCTGTTAACCATTGTGTTTGTACGTGTGCATGTGTGTGTTGATCAGGTATCTGTCAGAACTGTGTTGTGTGGATGGAATCGGAGGCGTGGGACGAGCGACTTTCCCCGTGGTAAGAAACACTCTCGTCACACACTTTAATTCTTCTGTCAGAGACATCAGCTTTGAAGTGGAGTTTGAAGACATTGTTTTCAGCTCAGAAGTGTTGTAGACAGGTGGCTGTTGCAGGTCTGCGGTGGTGTTTGTGTTATTAGCAGTGTGATGTGTGTGTTTAGGGTGTAAAGCTGCTGTCGTGTCTGTATAATGAAGCTCAGAGTAACTGCAGTAATGAGAATCATCCGGTGCTGCTGTCACTGCTGAAGAGCAGCTGTGAGCCGTACACACGGTGAGAAACTCATCTCCTCCTTTCGCTTTTTATTTATTTATCTATTATTCAACTCCGGAAGGTCACTTAAGAGCAGAGTGGTTTTTGACACCCTATATTTTCCGAGTGATGGAGTCCATGAAATGGTGGTGAGATACTGTAGTGTCACAATGAGTCCTGCCCACCTCAGCTCACTCTATCCCAGCCTCAGCGCACGCTTAAGCCGGGGCTTCCTCTCACGCTAGGCCGCTGTGTGTTTCGTTGTGAAAGCGAAACTACTTTGTTTGGTCTTCCAAGAGGACACGACTACAAATCAGTGGTTAAGTTGTATTTACAACACTGTTCCAGAACAGTTTAACACAAATATTCAGATGTGTGCAGCATATTTTATGGTGGACTGTTTACTGATCCTGGGAGAGTAACGTTAGACTACAATGCCGGCTGTTCTGACTCACGTAAGTACATTTTAATTTAAACGATTTGCCACTGATGATTCAAACGTGAGTTTTGAGCAGTGTAGAGTAGCACTTGTTGTTTGTCATTTCTCCGATCACAAATGCAGACAGAGTTTTATGTTTACACGGCGCGATGCAATGCAACGCAACGCGTAAAAAGACAGTGTAAGTCATTATAATCAGTAATTATGTCCCCACTGGATGCAACAAATGCCTCGTTTATAATGAGTTTTAATGTTGTCTCGTCGCTCCAGCCGGGACACGGCATCAACAGTATGTGAGGGGCGTAACATTTCCGTCACACGCTTGAGGTATTCAGCCAATCACAACGCACTGGATAGCTGGCCAATCACAGCACACCCCGCTTTTCAGACCGATGAGCTTTGTAAAAATCGACGCGTTTCAAAAAGGAGGGGCATAGAGGAGAAACAATAATGTACAGTATGTGGAAAATAATGTGTTTTTTGAACTTTAAACCACATAAACACAAAATAATGTTCTTTTTAGCAGCATCATATGACCCCTTTAATATATTTAAATGTATAATTTATGTGTAGATATGTTGATATATTTAATAATGTGTGTGTATATATATATTCACACACAAAATATAACTATATAAATACAAAAGTATAGAGTTAAAATATATATTATTTTATATAATAAATGTAAATATATCATGAATTAATAAAAAAAATGTTTTGTGTTGGGGCCAGTGGTCTGGGTGTTATTATTTTCGGACATCAAGAGAAGAACAGCAACATAAATAGATTAGTCTTTAAAATGAGTTTCAGCAGCTGTTAACCATTGTGTTTGTACGTGTGCATGTGTGTGTTGATCAGGTATCTGTCAGAACTGTGTTGTGTGGATGGAATCGGAGGCGTGGGACGAGCGACTTTCCCCGTGGTAAGAAACACTCTCGTCACACACTTCAATTCTTCTGTCAGAGACATCAGCTTTGAAGTGGAGTTTGAAGACATTGTTTTCAGCTCAGAAGTGTTGTAGACAGGTGGCTGTTGCAGGTCTGCGGTGGTGTTTGTGTTATTAGCAGTGTGATGTGTGTGTTTAGGGTGTAAAGCTGCTGTCGTGTCTGTATAATGAAGCTCAGAGTAACTGCAGTAATGAGAATCATCCGGTGCTGCTGTCACTGCTGAAGAGCAGCTGTGAGCCGTACACACGGTGAGAAACTCATCTCCTCCTTTCGCTTTTTATTTATTTATCTATTATTCAACTCCGGAAGGTCACTTAAGAGCAGAGTGGTTTTTGACACCCTATATTTTCCGAGTGATGGAGTCCATGAAATGGTGGTGAGATACTGTAGTGTCACAATACATGCACAATACAGATTCTCTGCTATTATTTACTCGCCTTCATGTTGGAATAAACCCGTATGCTGTTATTTTTCTTGTGTGATGTGAATGGAGAATCATCATGTATAGAAGATATGTCTGTCAAGTCCCAAAAACAAAATTGATAATCTAATTGATTAATACAATTCTTTTTTATTTTAATAATTAATTCATTTTAGCCTCCCTGTAGCTCAAACAGTAGAGCATGTCACTAACAATGCCAAGGTCATGGGTTTGAAAAGAAGTAGCCTATACTTTTTTAGTGTAAAAGCATGTGCATAAATGTGAATGTTTAATCAAAAACTTTTTTATAGTTGGATAGTTTAGCCTAGTTAGTCTACAGTATAATGTAGCTTTCAATAAAAACAGTGGTTGTCTTGTGGTATGTTCTTGTTTTGATGGCTAACTAACTATGTGTGTAGGTTTGTTTCAGACTGGGTGTACAGTGGCATCTTCCGTGATGTATATAAAGAGTTTATGATCGAGGTCAATGAGGATTATCTGACCTACAGAGGTGAGCTTCTCAGTCTCGTGCTTTAATTTAGTTGAATGTTAAATCCATCTGTTTTCTGCTGCATTATTGTGGATTTCTTGTATTATCTTGATTGTGTGCAGTTACATCAGTGATAATGGCAGACCTGCCAACCTGTACGCATTTTGCCTAGCGGATACGCATTTTGACCTCAAAGTACACTGGTACGATTTGTCACACTAAACTACGCAAAAAAACTGGTGACGCCTCCATCCACGTGCAGTATTCAAAACAAGCAACAGAAAAAGATGAAGAGTTCAACTAATCAGAGCGTTTTTTTTAGGTTTTGCTTTTAAATTTCCATGCGTTTTATTTCTCTCCAAGCTGGCTCTGTTTGTGTGTCTGTGAGTTTGCGCGCTGAGATGAAAAAAACGCCTGCATCTGAAAAAGCAACACACGCCCAGCATCTTCCCTTGTAATGACTAAACCTTTTGACCAACAACAAAAAAGAATATTATAACATTCTTTTACTGCACAACATCAGACAAATATTGAAAATAATTTCCCTCTTGATCTGATGTGGCTTCTTATTACAGAATGACGCAGAAATAAATTCTACACTGGACTAACGGCTAAGTCGATTATCGGATTATAAATAGCATTATGTTATAAAATCTATATATAATCTAACATTACTTAATTATTAAAATACTCGAGGTGGTTTTAAGAACACAGATAAACATTGTCGCAGTACAGTGTTTATTATCTTAATGTTCTTTTTGAATGTCATCATTCAAAGCGTTTCTGTCTTTTATTCAGTTACAGCAATAGCTGGCTGTTTTTGTCCATATTAGGGATTTCATGGAGCGTCCTGAGTTCTATTTCTTCTATAATGTATATTGTAGCATTTAATAATAGCGAAAAAGAACTAAACCAAAAACTGTGGTAAAAAATGTTCAAAACTGAGGTATTTATTGAACCGTGGGCTAACTGTATTGTTGCATCCCTACTTTTTACTCTAAAACACAGGAATATCACAAACTGAGTGCAGACCCTGATTATTAACCTAAAAAATATTTAACATTAAATCTAGCATGTTAAATATGTCCTCCCCAAATCATTAAGACATTAAGTAAAGATCATGTTCCATGAAGATATTTTGTACATTTCCTACTGTAAATATATCAGAACTTAATTTTTGATTAGTAATATGCATTGCTAAGAACTTCATTTGCACAATTTTAAAGGCGAGTTTCTCAATATTTTTTTTTTTTTTTGTGCCCTCAGATTCCAGATTTTCAGATAGTTGTATCTCGGCCAAATGTTGTCCTAGGGCTGGACGATATGGCCAAAATTGATATCACGATATATTTCTTAATTTCGGTCGATACGATATAATTCCGATATCGATATGAACACTATTAAAAAAGTCTCATAAAAACGGCCAAGAACGGCCACACAGGTTGTCTGTACCTACAAACTTATGAAAAATTTATTTGCCAACTCTATGAAACCTACTCCTATAAAACTATATAATATTTTAGGGGAAAAAAATGGCGCAAATAAATAAATGTTCACGTTTTATTGGTATTTAGCCTTCATACAAACAAGAAATGTGAAATCGGTGTCAAATAAATCTCAGACTCTCCTTATTAATATTAATATATCACGATATATTTCTTAATTTCGGTCGATACGATATAATTCCGATATCGATATGAACACTATTATAAAAGTTTCATAAAAACGGCCAAGAACGGCCACACAGGTTGTCTGTACCTACAAACTTATGAAAAATTTATTTGCCAACTCTATGAAACCTACTCCTATAAAACTATATAATATTTTAGGGGAAAAAAATGGCGCAAATAAATAAATGTTCACGTTTTATTGGTATTTAGCCTTCATACAAACAAGAAATGTGAAATCGGTGTCAAATAAATCTCAGACTCTCCTTATTAATATTAATATTTTTTACTTCAAACTATAGGCTAACATACCAGTCAAAAGTTTTTGAACAGTAAGATTTTTACAGAAGTTTTTTAAAGAATTCTCTTCTGCTCACCAAGCCTGCATTTATTTGATCCAAAATACAGCAAAAACATTAACATTTTTGAAATATTTTTACTATTTAAAATAACTGTTTTCTATTTGAAAATATAATGTATTCCTGTGATTTCAAAGCAGAGCTTTAGCATCATTACTCCAGTCACATGATCCTTCAGAAATCATTCTAATATTCTGATGCCATCTAAACTATTCTGAAGACAGTCGGTTCCCTTCAGAGATACATTCATATAAAACACCCGCGACGCGTTTTGATTTTGAAACGTGCAGTGCTCATGTTTATTCAACGAAGTCAAACGCCACAAATAAATCAATGTATGGGAAACTGGTAATGTATATCGAAATATCGGAAATGTGTTTAAAAATCATATCACCGTTATTGAAAAAAATTATATCGTGATACATATTGATATTGAATTATTGTCCAGCCCTATGTTGTCCTATCCTAACAAATCATCAAATCACCATACATCAATGGAAAGATTATTTATTCCGCTTTCAGATGATGTATAAATCTCAATTTCGGAAAAATGTACCCTTATGACTGGTTTTGTGGTCCAGGGTCACATTTATGCAAAACCCCTTTAAAAATGAATGAATCTGTTTCCTCAGATAAGAACTTTTGGACGCAGGGCTACACTCTGATTTCGTGTGATGCAGAGGACTGTGTGCCGGTGTTCCTCAAACACATCGCCAATGACGTCTACGTCTGCGGGAAAACAATCAACCTGCTGAAAATCTGCTGCCCACAGGTGCGTCTCAAACGCTTTATAATGCTTCATATAAACTGCTGCTCAAAAGCTTGAGGTCCGTAAGATTTTTTTATATCTTATGCTCATCAAGGCTGCATTTATTTGATGAAAAATTCAATAAAAACTGTAATATTGTTTTTATTATTACGATTAACTGTTTTCTATTTTAATATATTTTAAAATGTAATTTATTCCTGTGATCAAAGCTGAATTTGCAGCATCATTACTCCAGGCTTCAGTGTCATGATTCTTCAGAAATCATTCTAATATGCTGATTTGATGTTTAAGAAATGTTTCTTATCATTATATATAGTGTTGAAAACACATTGTGCTGCTGAATATTTTGGTGGAAACTGTAATACATTTTTCTAGGATTCTTTGATTAATAGAATAGCACAGCATTTTTTTTTTAATATAAGTATTTTATTACATTATAAATGTTTTACTGGCGATAATTACAACATCGGAAGTTCCGTCTAACTCCCATCTGTTCATTGAACAGCACTACATCTTCTGGTCAGATGTACCAGTGCCCAGGATCGCGGTGACATTTTCCCTGCAGGAAGTAGAGGAGATTGAGAGAGACTGTGCGGTGTATCGCGGACGAATGGAGACGATCGCTAGGCACAGCGCCATCAGCAGAGAGGAGCAGGTACTGCACCTGTCATCATGCTGATTGAATGATTTTTATGGAGATGTTGATATGTTGTAAATTAATGATGAGGTTTTTAGAATAGCTCATCCAGGTTAAATGTTTATATGTCTACAGTATGCTTGCTGAATTCAGAGCCAATAATGGTGGAGAGCCAGTACTGTTGGCATGGCAACAGATGAGATTTTAAAAGCCAGTCCATTAACCCAGTTTCATCAGGACACTCTGACCTGGGATAAAATCTGTTAAATTGTTTTGCACTGAAGTCTGTCTTATTTCATTTTCCCCACTCTCTCTCTCTAACTTGTGTTTTGTCAGGCTATGCGGACTGAACAGGCCCGACAGGAGCTCATTAATCAGGTCAGAGTGTCAGCGGCCAAGACCCTGGAGAAAATCAGAGGTCAGAAATCTGTCCCTTCAAAACCCACGCACGCACACACACACACACCTGATGCTGTTAGCAGCTTCTGTCTGGCTAAAATTAGTCTTGCGTAGCCAGACTTGACTTTCATCATAGTTCCCTGTCCCAAATAGCACCCTTCTAAATTATAAAATGAGAAATGGGAGGTTCTGTGGGCCTGCAAGTTCTCGTTGAGTGACCCATTTGGGACAGAACCACATTGCTGATTATCCTGGCCAAAAGCCATTCACTTAGACAGGGAAGATCTGACTGATATGTAACAGGGTTTTTATTGTTAACTAACACTAAACCATAAAAAGTATTACTTGAAATAAAATAAACATTAACTGAAATAAAACATTAAATGTATTTTATTTCATGTAGATGCCAAGGCAATTTTTTAACTAAAACTAAATATACTAAAACTAAAACCTAAAAAAAACTATATAGACATGCTAGACAAAAAATAAAAACGATTACAAAAACACAATAAAATGACATTTATTTAAAAAAAAAAGGCTAAAATACAAGGACTAAAATAAATAAAACTAAACTAATATGTAATAAAAACTATACATAGTTTTAAAAAAAACAAATAAAAATGACAGACTGATCAAATTACTCAAATTTCTTATGCGCATTTTAAGTACTAAAATAACTCAAATTAAATTATCTAAAACTCTATAGACACTGAAAACAAATAAAAATGACAAAAAATAAAAAAAAAATGCTAAAATGATCAAATAACAAAAGTACTGAAGAAAAACTAAAACGTAATACACTATATAAAGATACTTAAAAAAAAAAAACAATAACTTTTTTAAATGACATATTTAGACATAAAAATAATAAATAATAAAAATTACCAAAAAAAAAATCTCATTAAAAATGTACCACAATTTCAACTAAATTAATCAGGAATGAAACATTTTGCTTAGAAACTAGTTTAAATACTAAAATAACAAAAACTAACACTGATATGAGTAGTTTTTTTTATGTAAGGAGGACACACAGCTGTTCTCCTCGCAGAGGTCAAGTATTAATTATCAGGACGAATAGCTAGAGAGAATTCCTCCCCACAGAGACAGATGAATGGAGATTTCAGCTGACGCCCCACTTTTCTCGCTCTCGCCCCCTGCAGGTCACCAGGTGTCGCAGCGTCTGGCAGAGGAGGCCCAGAAGAGAGAGCGATTTGAAGAGATGAAACAGCAGCTGGAGCTCGACCAGGAGGTGAGAAGCATATTAATAACCCTTCAGTAAAACCATCTTCAGCGGTTCTAACTTGTATGGATGTGGTTTCAGTGGCGTAGTGCTGTGAGACTGAAGGAGCAGGAAGACGATTTCGGTTATGCTCGAGAGCTCAGAGACCGTGAGCAGAGGCTGCAGGCCCTTGAGGAGCAGCTGGAGCGCAGGGCACGGTGGGCGGCATACAGTAACAATCAGAAAAAAAGAGCGATTGAGGCTGTAGGGCAGCAGTGACCGCCCACAGGAAGTTTATTTCCCATTCATGCATTTGAGCAATTTATTCAGTAAAGCATTCTGAGCCATGAACCAAAACAAACAGTTCTCAGATGAATCATAACATTAAAATTTTGGACTCAAACCAAAGAAGTATTTAAGAAAAAAGACAAAGGTACAAGATTGTGTACTTTTTTTTTTTTTTTGATGAGGGAATGAACTACTCATCCTATAGGGCATTGCAAATGACATAATCAAATGAAAAACAGTGGTAAAATGTAAAACTATTGACTATACATAATTTGTTATGGTTGGTATTACACCTAAAATTTGGCAATTAAAGACTTTTTTAAAAAAAATTATAAATAAAGTGGAAATTGCACTGACTTTTAGCTTCACATAGTGTCGTATCACCCTCAGAGCTCATGGTAGGTCTGTCTTGAAAAGTTCATGTTATCAATAAAAATCTATTTCACTGTGAAGAAAATTTATAGGATTTTTTGCACTGTTGCACTTTATAAAAGGACTCAAATATCCAGAGAGATCAAAGACATTTATTAAATGATGTATTTTCTGTGTGTGTTCAGGATGGATCTGATCACTCAGTACAGTCAGTTATCAGAAGCCGCTGCAAGACGAGAGCTCAGAGCCATGTGGAAGGTGCAGAGGATGAAACTCGACGAGCGCAGAGTGAACTTCCTGCAGCAAGAACAACAGAATGTACAGGTCTGATATCATGCTTCAGAGTTTTTTTTATTGTTATTATTTGTCATTTTTTCAGTTTCCAATAACTTATTTTATTACAATATATTTATAGATGTTATTTATATTTTAAAAAAAAATGCTTTTTTGCATTTTAATAGAGATTTTTAGTACCTGTTTAGTATCTTACTTTGCTATTGTAATAGTGATATTATTATACATTTATTTTTTACAAAAAATTTTAATAACAGTATAATTTTAATTATAGAAATAATACAACTATAATCTTACTTGTGTCATATGAAAGTCTCCCGTTCTCATTTTATGAACCATCCTTTCTGAGTTCCTTAAACTTTTAACTGACTGATAGTTGTATTTCAGCAGTTAGCCAAGGATATGTGTGCATTTGCCATTAAAGTACTATTTTGAAGTGATGGATAAGGGAAAATCTTTATGTCTGAGGTGCTATAATTTATGTTCAGGCTCTTCTGGAGAAGTTTCCTTTAGGTCAGGAGGGCCCCCCTCCAGAAATATCCCAAATGCTACAACCTGCACAACTACACGCTGAGGTCTGTGTGCTGTTCTTTAAATATACTCATCTATAGCATAATAAATTCAACCTACTCCAATGCTGTTTTAATTGTTTTAATTTTACCTCAGCTCTCTGAGCAGCAGAATCCACGAGAACAGCAAACAGCAAATCCTCCTCTCACAGAATCCTTTGCTCCTCCCTGCTCTCCTGCCATTGGTGAAACTCAAGCTCTTAAATCAGAGGAAATTGACATTGCTGACTTCCTCCCGAAGCCTCCATACGTCCCTGATAGTGGTGCCGTGACCCAGGCCCTCCACAACAATGGATCCGACCTCCTGCAATCCCCTCAGAAACCCCTCCCACAGCATCCACACCCATCGACCTCCCACATATGCGTTGGTGAAAACGTTTCGGAATTCCTGGAGTCTGTCCCCGTTCCTAATATAAATGGACAGGCGTCCAAGTCCAGCTTCCTATTGGGTCAGTTCACTTCAGAGGTGCCAGCAGGTCAGCCGAAGGCTAGTGTTCATGGACACCCTTCACAGAGCTCCGTGCAGCTGGGAGGCTCCACTGCCTCAGGGCGGAACAAGGGCCCAATACGCTCTAAGTCAAACACCCCTGCACAAACTACTCAAGAGCGAACATGTGAGGCAGAGAGCGATAGCCAGTGTACAGAAAAACAACCGACTGGAGATGAGACGGGAACACAGCCCTTGGCGGCCAGCACAGGTTCAGAGCCAAAGCAAGCCGCCCAGGAGCCAACAGAGGAAGCCAAGTCCTGTGAGAGTGTCAGCCAGCCCTCTCACTGTTCTCAGCCAGAGCAAGAACAATCTGTGTCTCTTCTCAGAGGCTTCCATGAGTCAGAGTCCGATTCTGATACAAGAAATAACAGCCATGCCTCTGATGCCCATATAAGCATTGGCGAACATGTTTCCAAGGTAACCACACCCATCCCCACACCTAACATCCATGGTCACGCCTCTGATGCCCATATAAGGATTGGGGAGCATGTTTCAGAGGTAACCACTCCTCTTCCCACACCTAACATCCATGACCACACCTCTGATGCCCATATAAGGGTTGGCGAGCATGTTTCAGAGGTAACCAGTCCTCTTCCCACACCTAACATCAATGGCCACGCCTCTGATGAAAATATAATGGTTGGCGATCGTGTTTCTAAGGTTATCACTCCTCTTCCCACGCCTAACATCCAAGGCCACTCCTCTGATGCCCATATAAGGGTTGGTGAACATATTTCTAAGGTTATCACTCCTCTTCCCACGCCTAACATCCAAGGCCACTCCTCTGATGCCCATATAAGGGTTGGTGAACATATTTCTAAGGTTATCACTCCTCTTCCCACGCCTAACATCCAAGGCCACTCCTCTGATGCCCATATAAGGGTTGGTGAACATATTTCTAAGGTTATCACTCCTCTTCCCACGCCTAACATCCAAGGCCACTCCTCTGATGCCCATATAAGGGTTGGTGAACATATTTCTAAGGTTATCACTCCTCTTCCCACGCCTAACATCCAAGGCCACTCCTCTGATGCCCATATAAGGGTTGGTGAACATATTTCTAAGGTTATCACTCCTCTTCCCACGCCTAACATCCAAGGCCACGCCTCTGATGCCCATATAAGGGTTGGTGAACATGTTTCTGAGGTGACCACTCTCATCCCCATGCCCAATATCCATGGCCATGCCTCTGACAGCCATATAAGGTTTGGTGAACATGTTTCTGAGGTGACCACTCCTCTTCCAATGCCTAACATCCATGGCCACGCCTCTGACGCCCATATAAGGGTTGGTGAACATGTTTCTGAGGTGACCAATCCTCTTCCAACACCTAACATCCATGGCCACGCCTCTGACGCCCATATAAGGGTTGGTGAACATGTTTCTGAGGTGAACAATCCTCTTCCAACACCTAACATCCATGGCCACGCCTCTGACGCCCATATAAGGGTTGGTGAACATGTTTCTGAAGTGACCAATCCCGTCCACACCGCTAATATTCACGGCCACGCCTCTGACGCCCATATAAAGGTGGGTGAGTTTGTGTCGGATGTTGCCTCCTCTCTGCCACGTTGGAGCAAATATGGTCATTCCTCTGACAGCACCCTTAAAGTGGGTTGTGTGATGCCCGATGCTGCCCCATCACCCACCCCTCTACCTGGCAGCTCTTTCGGTCATACATCTGACTCCACATTGACAGTCGGGTGTGTTGTCTCAGGCGTAGATCCTCAACCCTCTCCGTTACCTGGCAGTGCGTATGGACATTCCTCACAGTCCACCTTGGGTATCGGGTGTGTGGTTCGTAGGACTGAAACCACTCGACCCAGCTCTCTTTACAGCGGTGCCCACGGGCATTCGTCAGACTCTGCTCTGGGTATGGGCTGCATGGTTGGCGGGGTGGTGCCAGGGAGTTTGTACGGTGACAGGCCACCATCCAAATCTGACAGAACATCAGAAGATGCAGAAAATCCAGCCAACCCAGACATCCAGGGTGAGAACGCTGCTAAAAAAAAAAAACACTTAACAGCAGGTGCTACAGAATAAAATATTTAGCATCTTCAGCTGCTCTTAAAAACCTTCAGAATTTAAAAATAACTTTGCAAACGTAAAAAAAACTATAGAAAATGTTACAAATTTTAAATATTGACAAAAACATGAAGGTATATTTTTAGCCTATTAACCTGTAGTACCTCTCTTTAAAAACAAGATATATATATATATATATATATATATATTAGGTCTTTATGTTTTTTGTAGATGTCTGTTGGTCATACTCAAAGTGAATCCACTGTGGTTAATGATTTCATATTGTTTGTATTTGTAATGTTGTAAAGTAGCACCCCCTAGTGAGCTGTTCTCCCTGGATGAGGGACTGTCTGCCTGGGCTCTGGGACTGGGATTGTCCCCTAAAGAAAGTCCAGAGGATCGTTATCTTCTCAGCCTAGCCTTACAGTACCAAGTGGAGCAGTACCAGGACTCGTACGGCCTGATGAGTGAGTACCGGACCATCTGCCTTCATCATGAACCACTAGAGCTTTCTTTCTTTACGTCAGAAATGGAGAGGTTTGTGTTGTCGTTCCTGCTCTAGCTGCGGCTCCAGACTCTGAGCTGCTACTGCAGGTGACGTGGGGTCCGAACGGCCTTCCTGTAGACCCGTCCCTGCACCGGGCCACCGACGTCACTGCTGTTCAGCTCAACGAGATGATGCCACTTCCTGTTCTCATGAAACACTCAGTTACAACACCACTGATTACACAGTATGTACATTTATTTTCTGATTGATCACATTCTTTATTTGAGCTTTGCAAATTCGCTTATTAAAATCTCAGCATTTAGTGTAAATCATCCACCTAAATTTAATAAACACTTGTGTGATATTTATTTTTTATTTGTATTTATACCTTTGGCATGAAGGAGTCTTAGTTGGTTCAATGCAAAACAAACAGCATGATGAGTATAGTAAGATTCAAGAATAAATGACTTTTATGAGCCAGTTCTTTGAATTTGTGAGGCAAGTTATTGGTCTGAATCAGGGTTATTGTAGTTAACTAAAACTGAAACTAAGCTTAAAACCATTTTTGTTACTTAAAATAAATGTTAACTTAAAATATAAAAAAAAAACTTATTTCAGCTAGTTGCAAAGATTGTATTTCTCATTTTCATTTAGTTTAACAATGTACTAAAGCTGAAATAAAAATGTAAAAAAAATATATGTATAGACATATATTTAAAAAAGTAATAAAATAACAAAAACACAACAAAATTACTAAAACTTAAAAATGAAAACAGAAAATCCCAAAATTAAAACCGATTCAAAATATTTATAAATAATAGTAGTATATACTATTTATATCTATCTTTATATCTATATCTATCTATATATCTATGTACATATTTGTACATAAATATATAGTATTAATTTAATAGTTATTTTTAAGTGACATTATCAGTGTATTCATTCAAAAATATAAATCATATATATATATATATATATATATATATATATATATATATATATATAAAAATAAATAATCAAAAATATGAATGAAAATCAAAAAAATCTAATTGACAATATATATAACCATATATATATAATCAATATATATAAATCATCAAAAATATAAATGAAAATCAAAAAAATCTAATTGACAAATAAATAAACATTTTTAAACATTTTTAAATTCATGTTTTAAAAAATGTGTTGTGTAACGAACAGAGAAATTCCTTTATACTACAAAAAAAACTATTTGTACATTTGAATCTCTCTCTCTCTCAGTGTGTCTATGGTAAATAAGGCCGTGGTGGATTATTTCTTCGTGGAGTTGGGTGTGGAGAAGCACTTTGAGACACTCAGACATTTCCTGTTAATGGAGGATGGAGAGTTTGCCCTCTCTCTCAGCGATCAGCTCTTTGAAAAGGTCTGAACAGTTTTTCTATAAAATCTGATTAAAAATGACAAATGAAACATGTGAAAGATAACTAGATGCCTCTCGCTGAACTAACCATGCAGCATAATGAGGTCATGTGATGAATGTTGGAAATGCTTATCACTGTGTGTTGTGTTTAGCTGGGCAGTGGTCAGACGCCCGGTGAGCTGTTGACCCCGCTGGTGTTGAACTCCATTCTCAATAAGGCCTTACAGTACAGCGTTCACGGCGACAGCGAGCTGGCGGCTCACTTCACGTTTGCGTTGCGATACCTCCCTGAGATCTTCCATCCTCATGCACCAGACTCGCTGAACTGTCTCGAGCTCCGTTACAAGGTCAGAGACACCCACTGTGTTCATTTCTTCAGTTCCTGATGCAATATTTTCATAATCTCTCTCTCTCGTTCTGTCTGTAGGTGGACTGGCCGGTGAATATCGTCATCACAGACAGCTGTCTGAACAAATACAACAGACTCTTCTCTTTCCTGCTGCAGCTCAAACACATGGTGTGGTCCCTCCGAGACGTCTGGTTTCACCTCAAGAGAACGGGTGAGATTTCTGCCCCACTGTCTTTTCTGCCCCTTGTTGCACACCCAGTAAATGTATGAAACTCTGCACACAGATGAGTATGTTTCATTTCCAGTTCAGTCTCTTCATTTCTCATTTGCTGGTTATGAAAAAAGGTACTGTTTTTAAATCTGAATATATAGAATTCATTTAGGACAAAATTTAAGGTGTCCTTCATGGGTAACACAATCCCAAAATGCATTGCGATGAGCAAGTGGGTGGGAAGATTGCATTTGCAACCAAGTTGGTGGGAAGATAGATTTCAATGAATTGTGGAGTTTAAGTATGTTTTCACAAAACATTTTTATTAACATTACTTGTGGATCATTGTTAACATTTATATATTTGGGGGAAAAATCTAGCAAAAATAGTACTCTCTCTCTCTCTCTCTCTCTCTCTCTATATATATATATATATATATATATATACAGTATCTCACAGAAGTGAGTACACCCCTCACATTTTTGTAAATATTTTATTATATCTTTTCATGTGACAACACTGAAGAAATGGCACTTTGCTACAATGTAAAGTAGTGAGTGTACAGCTTGTATAACAGTGTAAATTTGCTGTCCTCTCAAAATAACTCAACACACATCCATTAATGTCTAAACCACTGGTCACAAAAGTGAGTACACCCAAATTGAAATGTGAAAAGTGAAAATGTCCAAATTGGGCCCAAAGTGTCAATATTTTGTGTGGCCACCATTATTTTCCAGCACTGCCTTAACCCTCTTGGGCATGGAGTTCACCAGAGCTTCACAGGTTGCCACTGGAGTCCTCTTCCACTCCTCCATGACGACATCACGGAGCTGGTGGATGTTAGAGACCTTGAGATGCTCAATAGGGTTTAGGTCTGGAGACATGCTTGGCCAATCCATCACCTTTACCCTCAGCTTCTTTAGCAAGGCAGTGGTCGTCTTGGAGGTGTGTTTGGGGTCGTTATCATGTTGGAATACTGCCTTGCGGCCCAGTCTTCAGTACGTCACAGTACATGTTGGCGTTCATGGTTCCCTCAATGAACTGAAGCAAACTGTTTGCAGGCTTTCTTGTGCATCATCTTTAGTCAGCCATGCAGACCAATTTGATGCAGTGTGCGGCGTATGGTCTGAGCACTGACAGGCTGAGCCCCCCCCCAACCCTTCAACCTCTGCAGCAATGCTGGCAGCACTCATACGTCTATTTCCCCAAACACAACCTCTGGATATGACGCTGAGCACGTGCACTCAACTTCTTTGGTCGACCATGGCGAGGCCTGTTCTGAGTGGAACCTGTCCTGTTAAACCGCTGTATGGTCTTGGCCACCGTGCTGCAGCTCAGTTTCAGGGTCTTGGCAATCTTCTTATAGCCTACGTCTTCTTTATGTAGAGCAACAATTATTTTCTTCAGATCCTCAGAGAGTTCTTTGCCATGAGGTGCCATGTTAAACTTCCAAGGGGACAGCAAATTTACACTGTTATACAAGCTGTACACTCACTACTTTACATTGTAGCAAAGTGTCATTTCTTCAGTGTTGACAAATGAAAAGATATAATAAAATATTTACAGAAATGTGAGGGGTGTACTCACTTCTGTGAGATACTGTGTGTGTATATATATATACAGGGTTCCCACGCTTCTTGAAAGTACTTGAATATCAGATGCATGGATTCAAGGCCTGGAAAGTACTTGAAAACAAATATAAGTCCTTGAAAGTGCTTGAATTAAATTTTAAATAAATTTTGTTTAGTAGAATGGTGCTATTTCAAAAATGGTCCTATATGCGCTGTCAAAGACAAAACAAAACTGCGCTAATGATTGGGGGTTGAGATAGGGTAGCGCGAGAACAAAACTTAGCGTGTAAGCTGATGCGCAGCCCTGCATGAACCTATGGAGAAGCAGTGCATTTGCGAATGAAAATTACTGAGTGCAACTTTGAAAAAAAATATTTAGGAGCACCAGTGCGACTGACCCGATCAGCATATTTGTGTTTGCGCTCAGGGGAGCTTCAAAGGTTTCTAACTTATTTACAACATGTTTTTGCTGCGTTGAGTAATGTATCAGACAAATCTGTTGATTCCTTGAACACAATGTTAATCAGAATCCACTCACTACTCAAACACCTGAGTTTTGTTCAGTGCTGAGTCCTGCAATCTCACGAATCCTCTCATTATTGCAAACAAAGTGTTGACGGTGTAAATAAGAGATTCATTGTGCAGGATAGGGAGCTTCGTCGATTATAATGGAACTTTATGAGATCGCGATGAGTGAGTGACAGCTTTTAATGATTATTAAGGGAGTTTGCAAATGTGATATTGATTTAATACAACAGTTCATTAAACAAGAAATGAATATTAAGCGAAAATAGTTTCAAAGTCACAGCTGAGCCACCGCGCATTTCCAAGCAAACACAGAGATGTTTCGTTTATGAATGAACGTGCATTTTTTAAACAAATCTGAATCAGTTACCCATTCATAAAGCCAGTCGCTTGCTTCATTCCTGAATTAATTAGTTGTTCGAACGAATCAATTGAATTAATGATTCAGTGATAAACGCAATGATTTGCCGCCACCTACTGGCAGTTTTACTTTCAGTTTTAAAGGATCTTTTCTGTTATTTAATTCATTTAATATTTCTATATTAAAAATTTTATATTTAAAATATTAACCTCAACATGAAGTTATGAATTTAATTCCACTCATGCCACCTCTGAGCTTCATTAAACATCTGATAATACACCTACAAGCCACTTTTGTGTTCTTCTGTGCCACCTCTGTGGCATTTTTAATTTTATAATTTTTTTATTTTATTTGAAAAGAAAAGTACTCGCAGAGCCCTGATTAACCACTTTTTATTAATTTAAAATTTGAGAAATTCTCTCAAATTTTAATCTTTTACAAGAATTACAGCAAAAACCAGTTTGATGCAAGAATAGATATTTTTATTAATATTTGAGAAATTGTATTTGAATATTACCAGTGTGAACTCGATTGACTTCAATGGATTTAATTAAGTTCCTTTGAACACGACTGCTCAAAGTGGTGGCTCGAAACCTACACATTCAAAACCTCATTTTTTTAATGTAAATGTTAAGTGTAAGTGAAAAGTTAAGTACTGTAACAGGTCATTCATGGATCCTTCAGGTGTCCTGGAGCGAGTTCACACACAAACTGAGCAGTGCCAACGACCTGGACGCCATTCACCGCACACACGCCGAATACCTCAACAGAGCCATCTTCAGGTGAGGACACAAACATGACATATTCACTTCATATACAGATATCTGGAGCAGGATATGAAACTGTAATGGTTCTTTTTTTTTTTACTCTCTCAGGGGTTTGCTGACGGAGAAAGCCGCCCCCGTCATGAACATCATCCACAGCATCTTTAGTCTGATCCTGAAGTTCCGCGGGCAGCTGATCGCGCAGCCGTGGGAGCTCCAGCAGGGGGAGCCGGTGCATCCCAGTTTCATTGCCATGCAGCAGTCCTACAACACCTTCAAATACTACTCCCGCTTCCTGTTCAAAGGTGAGCTGCTTCTACAGGTGTATACACTGAATGATCAGAGTTCTGTGACGGAACGATAAGATTAGAGCGTCACACCTGCCCATTCAGATACAGACAGATGTGTGCCTATACAGTCACCACAACCTGATATCAATTATATACATCAATTCTTTTTTTTTTTTTTGGACCAAGTAGATTTAGGGTGCTTTCACACTAGCACTTTTGGTGCGCACCCGGGTTCGATTGGATGATGTGAACGCTGTCTTCCGAACTCGGGTGCGCGCCCACGAACCGTACCCGAGTCCGCTTAAAAAGGGTGGTCTGGGGTACGGTTCCTGTGAACTCCAGTACGGTTCGCTGCTGATGTGAACGCAATCGTACCAAATCGCGGAAGTGAACCGCTATTAATGACGTATTGTTTGATTAAAAATGTGTGTTTCACTCACTTTCCTGACGAGCGTGACTGATACGCTGCAAACCGAGAGAGCTGTATATCTAATTTCTGTTCTCCTTCAGTATTCTTTAAAGGGGTGGTTCACTGTTTTTTTTCTAGGCTTGATTGTGTTTATGGGGAGCAGTCTAACATGTGTTAATGCTTCATTTGTTAAAAAACGCATTATTTTTCACATAATTTACCTTTATTCCACACCGCTCTGTCCCTTCTCTGAGAAACACGCTGATCATTTCCTGCTTTTATGAAGCCCCTCCCTCAGAAATACACGATGGGCTCTGATTGGTTAGCTACCCCAGTGTGTTGTGATTGGCTAAACCACCTCTAGCGTGCGTCTCTTCCTCTTCTCTAAAGCAGCGCAGCATGGCCTCACCCCCTTTTGGTGCATGTTCCCGGAGGCGGGGTTTATGTAAAATTCTGGGTTCTTGACGTAACGGACCCGGGAAGTAACTCGTTGTAGTCCCTTACCAGTCGTTTTTGTAGGCATTAAACTGCCAGAATTTGCATTGTTTGCATTGAACTTTCAGCTTCGTAACTTTGCAGATATTGTTTATGATCAAACGGCAACATTACACACTAACTAACATTAAAAAAGTGAAATCGCAATCAACCACCCCTTTAAAACATTTGCAGTACATTCAAGAACGTAAGACAGACGTAAGTGGCATTATGTACCAAAGCTTTAACAATACGAATGGTTCAAAAACGTAAATATATAAAAGTGCAGAGAGCAATGTTATGCATTTGCCGCCTTCGTTACTAAGCAACGGGGTAAACAGCTGCTGGCTTGATGACGCAAACGAACCGTGGTTCGGACCAAATAAAATAATATGAACGCAGTCCAGTGGGGGCAGGGGCAGGGGGAGGGGGAGCAATCGAACTCTGGTTAGGGTGCTTTCACACTAGCACTTTTGGTGCGCACCCGGGTTCGATTGGATGATGTGAACGCTGTCTTCCGAACTCGGGTGCGCGCCCACGAACCGTACCCGAGTCCGCTTAAAAAGGGTGGTCTGGGGTACGGTTCCTGTGAACTCCAGTACGGTTCGCTGCTGATGTGAACGCAATCGTACCAAATCGCGGAAGTGAACCGCTATTAATGACGTATTGTTTGATTAAAAATGTGTGTTTCACTCACTTTCCTGACGAGCGTGACTGATACGCTGCAAACCGAGAGAGCTGTATATCTAATTTCTGTTCTCCTTCAGTATTCTTTAAAGGGGTGGTTCACTGTTTTTTTTCTAGGCTTGATTGTGTTTATGGGGAGCAGTCTAACATGTGTTAATGCTTCATTTGTTAAAAAACGCATTATTTTTCACATAATTTACCTTTATTCCACACCGCTCTGTCCCTTCTCTGAGAAACACGCTGATCATTTCCTGCTTTTATGAAGCCCCTCCCTCAGAAATACACGATGGGCTCTGATTGGTTAGCTACCCCAGTGTGTTGTGATTGGCTAAACCACCTCTAGCGTGCGTCTCTTCCTCTTCTCTAAAGCAGCGCAGCATGGCCTCACCCCCTTTTGGTGCATGTTCCCGGAGGCGGGGTTTATGTAAAATTCTGGGTTCTTGACGTAACGGACCCGGGAAGTAACTCGTTGTAGTCCCTTACCAGTCGTTTTTGTAGGCATTAAACTGCCAGAATTTGCATTGTTTGCATTGAACTTTCAGCTTCGTAACTTTGCAGATATTGTTTATGATCAAACGGCAACATTACACACTAACTAACATTAAAAAAGTGAAATCGCAATCAACCACCCCTTTAAAACATTTGCAGTACATTCAAGAACGTAAGACAGACGTAAGTGGCATTATGTACCAAAGCTTTAACAATACGAATGGTTCAAAAACGTAAATATATAAAAGTGCAGAGAGCAATGTTATGCATTTGCCGCCTTCGTTACTAAGCAACGGGGTAAACAGCTGCTGGCTTGATGACGCAAACGAACCGCGGTTCGGACCAAATAAAATAATATGAACGCAGTCCAGTGGGGGCAGGGGGAGGGGGAGCAATCGAACTCTGGTTTGGACCAGGCAAGCGAACCAAGTGTGAAAGCACCCTTAAAATACAAAGAAAACAAAGTTATATAGAAAATATAAAGTATTAAAAATATATAAATATTTTTATTTTTATTAACATAAAACATTTATAGAAACATTTTCTTAACATTACAAAATATATTAATATTTTATATATATATATATATATAGGTATATGTGTGTGTGCGTGTATATATGTTTATAGATAGATACACACACACCCTAAAAAATTTTTTACATCAAAGATATATATTTTATATTTACTTTAAATTTAAATGTTCAAAAAAATAAACTGTAAAACTTTATTTATTCGAATTTATTTATAAGCATGATCTGCAATAATTCCTGGAAAATATACGTCAACTGTAAATTCATACCCTTTTGCTTGAAAAGCCTGGCAATCCGTGCAAAACATTACAGATTTATCATGTTCAGCCCATCCACACTAATGAGCATCTCAATGAATTCAGATTGTAAAATCTATTGGCATCTTTTTTTGTGGAGAATTAAACCACCAACCACATGACACTCTCTCTCTATTACTGCTGTCATATGCACAGTTTGCAAGACGAGGAGCCGCTGTAAAACTAACCAGATGGTGCAGTCTTTGGAAAACCTGGCTAAATAAATACTGTATTGTTGCCAACAAAGTCATCACAAATACAGCTTGTTCTTGAGCAGAGATTCATGCAAGCCAAATGTTCCATCAGGACGTTCAGACGTGTAATAAAACGCCTCTTCTGTAGTACTCCATCTTTTCTTCAACTCCTAAATGTCAGTCAAGAGATCTTGTATCCGCTCAATTACAGTACCTTAGTTTTACATGATCTTATTGCGCACTACTGAACAAGTATGTCAATTTGATCAGTCATATTTTAATAGGAGTTCAAATGAGTGTTTATAATGAGGCGGTTTCAGAATTTGAAAATCTTTTTTTTGTAAATGATACTTTCAAAAGAGCATGAAAAAGAAATGTTTTCATTTATGTGAGTTGAATGACTGTATTTATGTTTGTATTTTCTGCAGTGGTGACCAAACTGGTGGATAAAGGTTATCAGCCCCATCTGGAGGACTTCTTGTTGCGGATCAACCTCAATAACTACTACAAAGACTCTTGATTGTCCTGTGTGTTGAGTCCGAGTCCTCTAGACCTGCTTCAGTATGTATGGTGTGTGTGTATATATAACCAAAGCCAATGGCCACAATTGCCCGTAGCTGGTTTTCAGTGACAAACTCAAATCCATTTGCTCAGTATTGATGCTGTTCAGCATTTCCTGTTGTGATGTGTGCACTGATGCTTTTCTCCACAGAGGCTAGGCTATGTGATGTGTAAAATAAACAGTTTAATTTTCAGATTTCGTTCTCACGACTCATAAAGGAAGTTCGAAATGGTCAGAAAGCTTTATTAAAGTGTTTTACATTCTGAACAGATGTTACATGGGTTGAATCTAATAGACCAGTAGCTGCTGTGCTGAACAAGCAGTCACACATTCATGAATATTTTTATTTCTCGTCATGCTAAAGCTCATCGCAGGTTAAACTTCAGACGGTTACTGAGGCATATTAGAGTTTGAGAAACTTCAGGATCAGTTTCACTCCAGCACAATAAATGTAAACAGTTCAACGTCATTCACTAGCAAACAACTTTCAAGAACTCGGAGTTCAAGTTAAACCCTTCAGTTCACAAACGATTGTAGATAAATGAGTGTTTAATAAAGTGCTGATCCATCTGCTCGGAGGAGAAAAAGCCCTTCAGCACACAAAACAAAACAAAAACTAGAAAAATGATTTCATTTTGTTGCCAGACTCACCCTGAGATTATTAGTTTTTCCACAGAATGAATGTTAAAATATATGACGCAGTTGTTTTTCATCTACAGGATGTCCGAATTTCCTATTCGAGTTAATCTGTTCACTGTATTTTCTAGGTTATTAAATATAAACAGACAACAGGAAGTAAACTCAAACTTGTGGTTTTAAATGAGTGTTTTAAAAGCAATCTAAATTGCACGTAAAAAAAAAAAGTAGTGGAATTTTGTTTTGCATTCTGCTGAATCCCAATCTGCACAAAACAAATGTGAAGTACCGTATTGACCCGAATATAAGACGACTGAAAAAACGCGGTCGTCTTATATTCAGGGTCTAGACTTCGACATGTCAATAATACACCCACAACAATAGGTGGCGCCAAATACACATAAAACGAGTGTGCCATGAAATACGTCATGTAATGCGTGTTGTAAAGATCGCGAGTAAAAACTAAAGAAAAAGAAAAGCTTACAGCTGCATGAGTCGTGACTGTCACGTTAGCCTGATGGGACCAAACTCCCTTTGGGATTTTAAAACGTAAGACAATACCCAGATTTGAAGACTACAGTAAGATTTAACTTCTACTGTTAATAAGAGTTTGGTAGGCTACTATTAGACGGATAGCCTAAATGTCCTAATTCAGATGGGCTACCTGTTTTTTTTTTTTTAATGGTATATCAAAAAGTGTATATTTTTTTAAATTTGATTGTTGGTACATTTTACCAGTTTTTACCATACGTTCAAAACAAAAATTAAAATAGGAAAAATATGCAATATGAAAATAATTGAAGACAAAATGTGTTCTACCGAGAAAAAACAAGATTTGATTTTTAAAAAAAGGCTTTTTCCAAAAGGGACATCTGGAAAAAGTGGGGTCGTCTTATAATCAGGGTCGCCTTATATTTGGGCCAATACGGTACATTTATGTAACAAGTTGAAAAATTGCATCCATTTAATCATAATATCTGCATGTAAGCATTAGCATCTAACTTAATTACCTTAAAGGAATGGTTCACCCAAAAATAAAAAAAACTAGCTAAAAATGTTCTCATTCTCAGGCCATCCAAGATGTAGATGAGTTTTTCCTTCATCAGAACAGATTTGGAGAAATGTAGCATTACATCAGTTGCTCACCTATCCTTCATCAGGAGCATCTAAAACTGGGTAAGTGCTAAACGAATCAACGCGTTCACTCAATCACCTGTTGTCTTTCCTTCATTAATCTGTCTGGAGATGCGAGAGGGAGGACAGGAGAACAGCAGCAGGAAATGGGAGTGTGTGTGTGTGTGTGTGTGTGTGTGTGTGTGTTGTGTTCAGATCAAGCCTCTGACTCCTGCTCGTCCGGTCCGGCCACTTCCACTGCGTCTCCCGTCTCGCTCTCCAGCAGCAAAAACTTGCCATCGTTTGTCAGAGGCATCGACTTCATCAGCTGGGCCAGAGCTTCAGGGTCCTGATGAAGAGTCGAGGTTCAAGTCATGAAAATCACAAGGGGAAAATAAAAAAAACTACTCCCTAAAAAAAAAAAAGTCTGCATAACCTATGAAAGAAAATGTAGCAACTACACCTTGGAAATGATCTTTGAATGTAGCTGTAAAAAATGTGTATAAAACAATAATATTCTAACCCAATGCAATCCAAATTAATCAATACACGTTTAGAAATATTTACATGTATATATAAATATCTACATTAAACAATCTTCATTTAGTCTTAATATATTTTAATATAAATTCACATAAAATTACTATTAATATTCATTTATTTATATACTATTATACTACTATATTGATCATTTTTAATATAAATAAAATATATTCTAAACATGAAATACGATATGTATAATATTTGTATTATTTCATATAGTATTACTATTGATAAGTTTGAATATTAATACATGTTATAAGATTATACTAATATATTCATAATTTAAAAAATTTGTTGATTTAAAGACTTATATTACTATAATTAAATATGTCACTATTGATAAAAATGAACATTAAAATATTTAATATAATATACTAATATCAATTTAATTTTGTATTTGTAAATTTGTATATTAATGTTTTGTTTTAAAATATTTTTACATTTTCAAATTGACTTAACAGTCTGTCAATATAGTATTTCAAAGAATACCATGGTAAATATTCTGTTAATCTTTTGTTAGTGTTTATGTTTTCACAGTGAAATTTTACAGAATATATTTTATGCAAATATATAAAGGCTGTCAAATCGATTAATCCCGTGATATGTTTGTCGTACAGAAGTTTGGGATCAGTAAGACTTGTAATGTTTTTTAAAGAAGACTTCTGCTCATCAAAGCTGCATTTATTTGATCAAAAATACAGAAAAAAACAGTAATCTTGCAAAATGTTATTACAATATAAAATAATGGTTTCTATTTTAATATCCTTTAAAATATGATTTATTTCTGTGATGCAATGCTGAATTTCCATCAGCCATTAATCCAGTAGTGTCACGTGATCCTTCAGAAATCATTCTAATATGCGGATTTATTATTAGAATTATCAATGTTGGCAACAGTCGTGCTGCCAAATGTTTTTTTGGAAACTGCGATACTTTTTCAGGATTCTTTGATGAATAAAAAGTTCAAAAGAACAGCATTTATTCAAAATATAAATCTTTTCTAACAATTTAAATCTTTTGCCATCACTTTTTAAATTTTTTTAAGTAATAAATCAATAAAACACATCCTTGCTGAATAAACGTTTTATTTCTTTCAAAAAAAGAAAGAATAGAAATTTACTGACCCCAAACTTTTGAACTGTAGTGTATATTGTTAGAAAAGATTTCTATTTAAAATAAATGCTCTTCTTTTTAACTTTTTATTCATCAAAGGATCCTGAAAAAAAGTATCACAGGATCCAAAACAATATTAAGCAGCACACGTTTCCAGCACTGATAATAAATCGGCATATTAGAATGATTTCTGAAGATCATGTGACACTGAAGACTGGAGGAATTATGCTGAAAATTCAGCTTTGCAGCACAGAAATAAATTACATTTTAATGTATATTAAAATAGAAAAACGTTTTTACATCATAATAATATTTCAAATTATTACATTTTTTCCTGTATTTTTGATCAAATAAATGCAGCCTTGATGAGCAGAAGAAACTCCTGTAAAAAAACATTAAAAATCATTCTGACCCCAAACTTTTGACCGGTAAAATAAATAAAAATGATTTATATTATAATATAAATATATACAGTGGGTACGGAAAGTATTCAGACCCCCTTAAATTTACTTAAATGATTTTAGCAAATGGCTGCAATATAACAAAGAGTGAAAAATTTAAGGGGGTCTGAATACTTTCCGTACCCTCTGTATATATATATATATATATATATATGATATATTTTATAATATAAATATATTTTTAAATATATACGTGTGTGTGTGTGTGTGTGTGTATATATATACTGTATATATATATATATATACACATACAGTAGACAAACATATCACGCAAACACTTATTTTGGATGCGATTAATCGATTTGACAGCCCATATATATATATACATATACATATATATATAT